CAGTGAGTAGAAAGAAGAAAAGTAAAGCTGACGTTGCAAGGAAGAGAGGCTGGCGACCCGGGCCTCGGCTCTGAGGAGGGGCCCTGCTGTGCTCTGCTCCCTGCTGCGTGCCCGGCACTTACTGAACACGTGGGAGGCGTTCACTGATCAGTGCAGAAATGAATGAATTCCAAGGGGCTTTGCTATTAGCTAGGTTGCACTCTTGGTTCTAGATTTTCGGTACCATAAAAAGATTTGCTTTTTCCCCTAATTCACCCAATTCCCTTTGCTGGTACTATTCATAAAATTCATAATCTGGTTCCTAATACCCTTTTATCAGTGAATTATTGTTAAAATGTTGCAGTTAGTAAAGAAACATTTTATGAAATGAAATCAGATAGAGACATAATAAATGCTTGGATGCAAAGATGCCTGCCAGTGGAATCACCATGAATCCTCAGGCCTGCCCGGCTCGGGTCCAGGTCCACTGCCCGCTTGGGGAGGGGCTCTGGCTTCAGTTGCCAGCTGCCTCCATCATATGGGATGGAGTGAAGTACCATGAGGACCAATGCCACACCACGCTCAAACCGGCTTTCCTTCCTCCCCTGCCAGCCTCTCCAAGCAGGGTGGGGGTATTGGGAATTTACAAGCAAGGACAGTGGTTCTATTTTTGTTTGCAAACAGATAAAAGTCAAAGCTATATTGCAGACCATGTGGCTTTAAGGGTTAGAATATTAATATTTCCCTCATGTACCCATACTTGCTACCTCTGTGATTTCTGTTAGTTATTAAATCCCTTGAAACTTTAGTTTTGTTCATCTATAAAATGAAGATAATAATTTTCCACCTTCTGGACTCACTGTGAAGATTAAATAAGATAAAGTGTGTGCATTAACTAGCTGACAGCAGCCACTCAGCCAATTATGGCATTCACGTCTATCCTCAGCATCATTCAGAAATGTCAGTTCCTAGATGCAGCCCCACCACCATAATCCCACACACCCACACCCTCCTCTGTATGAACTGATTTGCCAAGCATGCTTGCCAGGGGTGCTGGATGGAGCACTGTTGGGCAAAGCGAAGTTGTAGACAGCATGCTGCCCTCAACGGCCCACCCACCCCCACCCCACAGCTCAAGGACAAGCCAGATGCCTGCCCCAGAGAAGGTGGGTGCCTCCCAGCCAGCCCATCCTGTTAGCTCGGGCCCACTGCTCACCAGTGTTGGCTTTAGGCACATCACTCAACCTCACTGAATCCTGATTTCAGCAGCCACGTCACGGAGCTCCCATGAGATCACGTGTGGACGACAGCACTACTCACACCTGAGCAGCATTAGAACCGAGGGCATTCCTCCCATCCCTCTTCCTTTCGCATCACCACCAAAGCCCAGGGGTCATTCTTCCCCACTGCTCATGAGATTCCCAGCCGTGACTGCAGTGCAGGTCACCATGAACCACAACCCCTCCCAGGAGGCCACAGCAGCACCCACGAGGAGTTGGAGGCCTCCTCAAAATGCAGATTTCTGAGCCTTGCCCCAGAGCAAGGCCTGCTCTGACTGAGCAGGTCTGTGGCAGACCAGACAGTGTGCATTTCTAGCAAGTGCTGCATCCTGGAAGCAAGGGCGCATGGCTCTAGTGCTGAATCCTGCACACATTAGGTCGTCAGCCAATAACCACCTCACTAACGCTGATTACTACTTCAGGAACACCTTTTTAGAATTGGCAACGTCTGTGGGAAAGGTGTTATCTGTGTCTTTCCAGGTGTCCCTTGGCCCCTGGAACCCCAGTGCCTGGAGAAGGCAGGTTTCCAGCAGGCATGACCAGCAGCAGCCGCTCTGCAGGTGTCTCCTGGGGACTTTCACTGGCCTTCACATCTCTAACCCTCAGCCAACTGCACGCCATGGAAATCATTTTAACATCATTGCATGGGTCAGGATACTGAGGCACGGGAGAGCTGCCGGCTAAATGCGACCAGGCTACAACAGGACAGAACAACGTATCTGGGGTGTATGGTTCCAGAGATGGCATCCCTGCTTTCCTCCACTGCCTGATTTAATCACATCACCTTAAGTTGTTTTGCTTTTCTGAAATGGCCTGGCATGTTCCTTTGACTTCACTGAACAGTTATTTTGACAATGAGCAGACATAGCCTAACTGTCAGCGAGTACACTGTGATATGATCTGAGATAAAAGGAAAAAAAACCCAAAGTCACACTGAGATGCCAAGATTTCCTTGTGATGGGCACTGAGGGCTGGGAAAGCCTGGGCTCTGCCAACACGCTTTCCGCCCAGGTGCATCGTCCCCTTGACCCAACAAGGTGGCAGGAGATGCTGGCTGCCGTGGCAGAGAAGGCTCCGGGCTCCCCCTCTCCAGCCCTGGGCTTTGCACTCCCAGCTGGCCTCGCCTAGGAAAGCACTGATTTAATTTAGTGCAAGGATCCTCAGATCGCATCTGTTCTATTCTGTGCCACACTGTCTCCCCTTGGCAGCTGCCGGCTCCCCCGTGCTGGCCTGCTGGAGACACACGTCTGCAGTGTGGGCTGTAAACAGTGCTCCGCAGCCTTGTAGCCGGCTGAGGCGTCCTGTTCCGGGCTGCTTGTTTCCTGGATCTGCAGCAGCGCCTGGAGCCACCGCCACAGATGGAGGGGAGCCGCCTGGGAAGGGAGTTGTGATCGGGGAGGGATGCAGATACAGGTCCTGCAAAGGGGACTCACCTGCATAGGTATCTGTAAAAAGTGTCAGCACCTCTTCTCTGTTGTGTTTCCACCGCAGGGAACTCCATTCTCAAACCACAATGAAAAGCACGCCTGTAGGCAGCGGCCCCAAGGGCTCCTCTCTACACCCACAGTGAAGGCAACACTGACACCCCCAAAATGTTTGCACTTCACCTCCGAAAAATGTGATCAGAAGCCTCTGCATTTCCCATTTGCAGCTAGACAAGTAATCAAAATCCTCTTCGCCGTCTAACGTATCAACCACAAGTCCTCAGACCCAACCCTGAGAGGCTCTTACTGTGTTCAGAATATAATCACTTTCTGGGAAGAGACTCTAGACACAGTCTCTGCAGTTGTAGCTTTGCTTTTTATTATAATGATGATCTTTTGGATAGAGACACTGTCCACAGTTTGCCCTGGACCAGAGACTGGGGCTTTAACCCGAACACACGGCGCAGCAGAGACCACAGACACCACAAAGGACTGGTCCCTCCTTCAGCCGCATAGGTGGCCTCTGCCTGCCGCCCCTTGCCATTTGTCCAGGGCTCCCATCCACCCAGGACTCTGGCACTTTTACATGGGTGTCTCAGCCGCGGGGCCCCATGAAGGTCGGTGTGTCCCTATCTTTCCTCACATGGAGATGATGCAGGGCTGGGGTGTGCAAGGGAGGCTTTGGGGGCACGTTTGATGTCACCTGTCCAGCTCCGGGGTCGGATCTCTCTTTCCTTTGCAGGACTTCTCCTGTCTGTTGGCAGCATCACGGCGCAGTTTACACGGCACAGCAGGCTCTGCCCACCGTGGCCCTGTGCCGCCCACACCCATTTCTCCAGCTCCTGTGTGTCTCAGCCCGGGACCTCACCCTGGAGCCGGGGTTCACCCATGCCTGCCTCCACTCCATAGCCACCAGGCCCTGCCAGACCCAGGAGTCAGGCTTCCCACCCCATGCTTGTGCCGCTGAAGAAGAGGTCTATGGCATTTGTGGGACAAAGTCACAACAAAAGCTTGGACAGACCCTCAATGTCAAAGCCGGGTCTGGAACAACTGCTCAGCCCAGCCCCAGCAGGTCAAGATTTCCCCACCGTGCCCCTCCAGCTCCACCCCTGCCTGCAAAGCCCTCCCGACTTCTCATGCCCTGTCAAGAAGCACTTGCCCTTAGGAGGATCATAGGCCACCCAGCCTTCTCCCCTGCTCCTCCTTGGATGTCAGGAAGAGGGGCCGGTCACCACTCAAGATGTGCAGGGGAAAACAGAAGCCCCATAAAGGCAGGGGCGGGTTCTCCTCTCATCCGTCTAGCAAACCCAACCAATACAGAAACCAACAAGAAGCAACTGCTGAGCTGGGCCAGGGAATCTGTTAAGACGAAGGACCTGCCAGGCCCAGTTGCGTGCGGCCCTGCTCCCAGAACCCAAGAAGCTGGGGCGAGACCCTCTGTGCCTTCTAGGCATCTTCAGCACGCCCTGAGAACACCCCATGGTGCCCAGTGCCACCCCCCACCCTGGGCCAGCAGAGAAGTGCCCTTTCTCCCTGTCTTGGGTGGGCAGGCAGCAGCAGGCCATGGTGATGCCATCAGCTCACTCTGTCATTGGCAAGCAGAAATGTCTTTCTCTGATTAATAAAAATGTGAATACAGCTGATTTCTGAATGAATGCTCCGCGTTTGTTAGAGAAAAATCTTCCCAATGTTTTCAAAATGTAAGCTGCAAAAGGGGCAACAAACAGGATGCTTTGTAGTGAAGAGGGCTGGGAAGCAAAACTTTTAGAAGCTCTGTGCTGGGGAGGAACAGCAGATGCCACGCTGAGACGTGCCATTTCCACAGGCAGGGCGTTCACCTGGGGCAGATATATGGGGGCTGCCCTGGAACTAGAATCTATTTTACAGGAATGAGCCTTTAGCGAGAAAATCAGAACCTTTCTTTTCTTCTTTCTCAGTAAGTTCAATGTAGCCCACTGGGCACGGTGTTTGCCGGCACTGGGGTCAGTCCACGCACACAACCCCAGCACCTAAATGAAGGCCAGCCTTCCAAAGGCCAAGTGCCTTCTACCCAGCAGACACCGCTTCGGTCCCAAAGCCTCTTCTGAAGGCAAGCCACCTCTGTGAGGACAGGGCCATGTCTGGGGTGAGGCAGCCCGAATGGCTCCACCCGGCCCCCAAGGCGCCCTGACTTCTCCCAGCCTATCCTCCACCTGGGCAAGTGCCGACCCCACCACAGGAGCTGCTGTCGGGTGTCTCGGCTCTGCTCCTTGGCCAGGATTACCGTGTCAACACCTGAGCACCGGGCACCATGTGCGACAGACCGAGGCGGCCTTACCTCGTGGGACAAGTAGAAGGCAGCGATGCCCAGGGGCCAGAAGCAGCAGAGCATGGAGAAGACGCTGAGGCCCAGGTGGTCCCGCGGGGGCATCATGAGGAAGTTGTCCTCACTCTCCGTGTCACTCGAGTAGTCGCTCTGCAAGAGAGAACGGGCGGGGCAGGACAGGACAGATCAGTAAAGAAGTCACCCTGGGGGGCCCGGGGGCGCGGGAGAGCGTCTGGCTGGCGCAGGCCCTCCCCGGGAGGCAGCAGCACTTGCTGATGTTCCAGCCATTGTAACTGCTGCAACTACAAACCTCCCAGCAAGGGCGGCCCCGCCGGGGAAAGGCTTGCCAAGAACAGCAAGATAATGGTGCCAAGTACGGGGCTCTCAGGTCGTTCGCTTGCAGATGACATCCTACAGAAAGCGGTGTGTCTAAGATTCCTGGGATGTGCGTGCCCAGATGGTGGGGACAAAGGTGTCATCTCTCTGAGGATGGGACTGGGGACTTTGCAGGGACTGCCTGTCCGGAAGCCACCTGCAGAAATGGCCCCGTTGCCACCATGCACTGTTAGCGAGTTCTGGGATGGACTGGGGACTCTCAACAGACATAGTCCGGCCACATTTTTCTTTGTATTCCAAGACCTCTCACCAGACGACAAGGACGAGGCAAGGCTGGTGTGGAGCGATGGAGGACACTGTCCCCTGAATCTCTCTTAAGTGTCCCTCGACTTTGAACTGAGTCAAGACATAGGTTGGGTCTGATTTCCACCCCGAGCGTGAGGGCAGCTTCCTGAGGAAGAGAGAATAGCTCTGTGAGCCCCCGTCATGCCCTTTTGCTCTGTGTCCTGGTGGCAGGGGCTGAGTGAGACTCTCCATGGGGCTCTGATGGAGGAGGTGTGTGCTGGGAGCAGGGAATCAAGGGGAAACTGGCACAGGAATTTATTTTTTAATTTTATATTTTTAAAAAATTTTCTTTTAGGTTCGGGGGTACCTGTGCAGGTTTGCTTTATAGGTAAACGCATGTCACGGGGGTTTTGGCGCACAGGTGACTTCATCCCCCATGTACCAGCCTGGCGTGCAGTAGTTATTCTTGCTGCTCCCTTCCCTCCTCCCCTGCACCCGCCACCCTCTGGTAGGCCCAGGGTCTGTGCCTGTTGTTCTTCTCTTTGCGTCCATGAGTCCTTGTCATCTAGTTCCCACTTACAAGTGAGAACATGTGGCTTTTGGTTTGCAGTTCCCCAGTAGTTTTTAAAAAGCCGTTCGGATGCTTCCATTGGTGACCTAACGAAGCGAACCACGGCCCCGCCCTCCCCACGAAGGGCGCATGGTGCCTCCAGGAGGCTGAGTGGCTGGGGCCCTGCCTGGGTGTTGGGGCAGGGGGTGCCTCCTGGCTGTCATTCCACTGGCTCAGCTCTTTCCTCATCAAAATACAGAGCGCTCACATCAACTCCTCCAAACGCCAGGGCCACTCTGCCTAGGCATTTGTCCTATGCAAAGATGGAGCCCATCTTACTCCAGATATGGTTTCCTAGAGGAGTGGCGGCGTGTTTCCTCTCAGAGGAAGCCCTGGCTTCCGAGCTGTCTGCCAGCTGCCCAAGGTTGTTAAGCAGAGGTCTCTTGCCACAGGCTGGAGAGGTTCGTGAATGCACTGGCAATGACAGGGCCGTTTCTTCAGGTGGCTTCCGGGCAGACAGTCCCTGCAAAGCCAGACAGAAGTGCAGGTGGCCCCACCCTGTGAGTGCCACACGTTTGTGGATGCCAGCCCAGCCCCCTGTTCACAACGAGCGCCCTCAGACATTCCTCCTAATAGATACTGGGAAGCCTGCAAGTGACCGCGGCACCCTTTCCTATTTTTGTTAATTAAACACAGGTAAAACTGCCCATCAGAGCCTCTAATCACTGTGCAGCCAGCCGCAGCACTGCACTGGGACGCAAGGCTCCCTGGTATGGTGCATTTTCATGGGCTCAGCCCAACAATAAGGACTTCCCAGGCGCCCTCGCATGGAGCTTGGGGTGGCTGTTTACGCACCCCCACAAACCTGCAGTGCAGGGCCACTCCACCAACAGGGCAAGCGACTTGCTCAGGCCACAGGGCCAGCTCCTGGCCTTGTCCCTCCTGCCGGCCACAGCTCACGGAGTCACTGCGTCTGTGGTGGCGGCTCCCACAAGTGTCTGGGGCTGCAAAGCCTCTGTCCACAGAGCCATGCTTGTGAGATTTCTCCTCTTTATTCGGCACATCAGACCACATATGGTCTCTGAACAGTGAGGGGATATGAAAATTGCCATCGTTATGGCTAAGCGGGGAGAAGAGAGGAACTGCCCACAGGGGCGCATAATTCATGAGGGAGTTGTGAGGCCCCAGGCTGTCCAGGTGGAGACATTCACTTCCCGGCCTCTGGGCTGGCGTCTGGAATCTGCAAGAAGGATGTGCAGTGGGAAGGATAAACACTGGGGAAGGTGTGCAGCACGGAGGATGTGGGGGGGGCGATGTGCAGCGGAGAGGACGTGCAGGGGGGAGGACCTGCAGGAGGGAGGACCTGCAGGGG